AAAAAAAAAAAAAAAAAAAAAAAAAAAAAAAAAAAAAAAAAAAAAAAAAAAAAAAAAAAAAAAAGGAAAATCCTAATGCACTCAATGAGATTATAAGCCAAATCTACAAACAGCATTTTACTGAAAACTAAGGTAATACAATAAAGAAAATTACATCTACTTACTTTCTCTCTTCTGCAGTTTCTTTGGGATGAGCTGATCTACCAACAGTTGCTTTTCCTATAGTATGTCTTCGCTGGTCAATGGGCTTCGACTTTTCTATCAGTTTGTCATTAGACAATGAAGCAGGCCTAGCCACAACTTCAGTTGCTATGCTTCTCAACAGTGCCTTACTTCTAATTATGTCTTGACAAGAACTTGTTTTGACACTAGGTAAAGCTGTTTTTGATTCTAACAGTTCTTTTTCACGAGGCACTTTCCAGATTGTAACATGGGCAGAGGTTCTACTGATGCCTTGTTTCACAGTGTCCTGGGTATTACTGTGATGACTTCTAATTGGACGTCGCACAAGTTGTGTGTTTTGAGATGTAGTGCTTACAGATTTCGTGGTGGCAGTCATACTTGAGGATCTATTACTTTTCACTGGTACACTGCTGGTGTTTACAGGGTGAGGCTTTGTGGCTTTAGGGACAGTGGTTGAAAGTTTCTTTGTTGCTGCAGAACTCTCCTCTTTGACTTGTAGAGGTTTTCTAAATGAATTAACCTTAGACTGAACAATCTGGCCACGATAAGATCCAAGTACAGGTTTCTTGGGCATGTTAGCATCTTGCTTTAGTTTTTCTGCAGTTATCCGTTTCTTTTCACTATTGTTTTTAAGGTGAAATGCCTGGCTTAATGTCATATGTTGACTTTGGGGATCATCTTCAGTTAGTAACAACTGCAGAGTTTCATTACTATCCTTAGGTTTATGTGTGTCAATTACTATAGTTGAATTGGTTAGTTCATTTGAAGGTTTTAAAGGAATACAATTTCTCCCCACTATTGTACTATTTTTGCTCCCTGCAGGTCTCTTCACATTTTCTTTATCAGCCTAAAAGAATTATTTGAGAAAAGTGTTTATGAAAGGCAAAACGGAAAAGGGACAGTTTAAGTAGGCTATGTCCACATCTTACCATTTTTGTTTTAAGTTTCAGCACTTTAGTCCCTTCTTGAACTTGGTCCTCAGATGTCCCAGCTCTCTGACCTCTACTACTTAAAAACAAACAAAAAAAAGGATTAATCAATCAATCCTGTACCAAGGAGGCTTCCATTTGGGGATGGAGAAGAGGGCAATGTTAACAATTAACTGACTTATTAATTTTAAATTTGAGAAAGACCTGTGATATTTTTCCTAAGCAAACCTTTTTTTTTTTTTTTGAGATGGAGTCTTGCTCTGGAACCCAGGCTGGAGTGCAATGGCATGATCTCAGCTCACTGCAATCTCTGCCTCCCAGGTTTCAAGCAATTCTCCTGCCTCAGCCTCTTGAGTAGCTGGGATTACAGGTGCACACCACCTTAGCCAGCTAATTTTTGTATTTTTAATAGAGACGGGGTTTCACCATCTTGGCTAGGCTCTCTTGAACTCCTGACCTGAGGTGATCTGCCCACTTTGGCCTCCCAAAGTACTGATTACAGGTGTGAGCCATCACACCCAGCCCTAAGCAAAACTTCCAATAACTTTTAATAATATAAACAAATGGCTGAGGAATCTAAACATATTTTCTAAAAGTCTTAACACTCTCTGCCCATAGAATTTGTAAATACTTAATATTCTTATTTCAAATCATCCTCAAGTCATTCAAAAGAGTCTTCAAAAAACCTTTAGGAAGCAATACCTTCTTGGTTTACTTTTAAGTACTTAGTAACAGATGTACTACGCTGAAAAAATTTTTATGTAAGAGTCACAGAAAAGTAATCCAAAATTTACAATATGGCATTCACAGCTTAATTTATATTAGCATACATAAAGAATATGGACTGATGGGTGCAGTGACTAATGCCTGTAATAGCAGCACTTTGGGAGGCTGAGGCGGGGGTATTATTTGAGCTCAGGAGTTCCAGAGCAGCCTGGGTAACATGGTGACACCCCATCTCTACAAAAAATAAAAAATTAATTGGGCGTCGTGTAGGGTGCTTGTAGTTCCAGCTACTTGGGAGGTTGAGGTGGGAGGATTGCTTGAGCCTGAGAGTTGAGGCAGTGAGCCAAGATCCTGTCGCTGCACTAGAGGCTGGGTGACAGACTGAGACCGTGTCTCAAAAAAAAGAACCTCAGTTTCTAGGTGGTATTGCAAAGCAAATCCTTCCTCAAGAAAGTGACCTAAACTTATTTTTGTAGTTGTAAACTGGCTAAGGCAGACTGTGAGCAACTCTTAGCAGGTGATTGTAACAATTTTGCATACAACGAAGACAGGAAAAAATACTGTGAATTAGACATGCCATTGATTTTAAGACAGATCCTAAGTTCAGAGATCATGTTAAAATGTGAAAAAAATGAGGCCGGGTGCAGTTGGTCATGTGTGTAATCCTAGCACCTTGGGTGGCCAAGGCGGGTGGATTACCTGAGGTCAGGAGTTTGAGACCAGCCTGGCCAAAATGGCAAAATCCCCTCTCTAATAAAAATATAAAAATAAGCCAGGCATGATGGCACATACTTATAATCCCAGCTACCCTGAAGGCTGAGGAAGGAGAATCACTTGAACCTAGGAGGCAGAGGTTTCAGTAAGCTGAGATTGCGCCACTGCTCTCCAGCCTAGGCAACGAGCCAGACTCAATCTCAAAAATAAAATAAATGTTTATTTTACATGTGACATAACTTGGTAGTTAACAATTTTGGTTAGATTGCCTTTCATATATATTTCCTCTGTCAGCTTGGAGAAGGGACAGAACTTTGACACGGCCTGTACTATGCATTTTGAACAATGGTGAAGGGAGATCCAAATGTGCCGCTTAACAGGGTTTCTTAGTAGTTAACTGCTAGGTAAAAAAAACAAAACTCAGGATGACAAGAAGAACCCATCTTAATCACCTGTCCAATGTGAAGACTTAATCCTATTCTGTCTTATTATCATGAAACTGCCCTAAGAAGGGTTATCTGAAATGAGTCTCAGGATACCTACACTTTAGAGATTATAAAATATAATTGTTTAATTCTGAAAAGCTGCAGCACAGATGAGTTGTCTTATTTAATAATTCAGTGCTAATACACATGTAAATTGACATCTGTTTTCTGAAAGGAATAAATGTACTTATGCCACTAGAAGCGTTTTAGAATTTTCTCTTCTTCCTATTATGTTGAAGAATATTATAAACCCCGACCCTGCTGGGTTCCTTATTTAAATAAGCAGTAGAGAGCCACTGTCTGAATCCATATTATCTCTACTTATTCCCTAGTAATTTCACTCCATCCTAGGGTTTTTAAATAAATATCATCTGTATACTGACCAATTCCCGAGTGTATGCTTCCAGTCCCAACACCTCCCCTGAACTTCAGACACACAACTATTTGGCATATCTGCTTGGATGTCTGGTTGGTACCTCAAACATGGTCAAAACAGAACCCCTAATTCCCCAGCTCCTCCTTCAGTCTTCCTATTTCAGTATATGGTTATCACCACCCATTTACTTATCCAAACCAAAAACCTAGGATCACCCTTTAGTCTTAAAGAATAAAAGATTTGGCCGGGTGCGGTGGCTCAAGCCTGTAATCCCAGCACTTTGGGAGGTCGAGGCGGGTGGATCACGAGGTCAAGAGATCGAGACCATCCTGGTCAACATGGTGAAACCCTGTCTCTACTAAAAATACAAAAAATTAGCTGGGCATGGTGGTGCATGCCTGTAATCCCAGCTACTCAGGAGGCTGAGGCAGGAGAATTGCCTGAACCCAGGAGGCGGAGGTTGCGGTGAGCCGAGATCACACCATTGCACTCCAGCCTGGGTAACATGAGTGAAACTCCGTCTCCAAAAAAAAAAAAAAATAAAAATAAAAGATTTGTGAAGGATAAAAGGTTTATTCCAAACTAAAGCCACTTATTAACATAAAGTTAGAAATTATTTTTAAAATTTTGGAATACCAAAACTGAAACAAAATTGCAAAAATATAAACAGATCAAAGAATATCTATACAGTCCTTACTCAGGATCCACCTACTGTTAAAACGTTTATCCCACTTGCGTTATCATTTCCAATCTCTAAATATGTGTGGGGGCGGTATACATAATTTTTTTTTTTTTTTTAAGACGGGGTTTTCAGTAATCCCATTACTGGGTATGTATCCAAAGGATTATAAATCGTTCTACTATAAGGACACATGCACACGAATGTTCATCGCAGCACTGTTTACAATAGCAAAGACCTGGAACCAACCCAAATGCCCATCGATGAGAGACTGGACAGGGAAAATGTGGCACATATAAACCATGGAATATTATGCAGCCACCAAAAACGATGAGTTCGTGTCCTTTGTAGGGACATGGATGAACGTGGAAACCATCATTCGTGGAAACCATCATTCTCAGCAAACTGACACAAGAACAGAAAATCAAACACCACATGTTCTCACTCATAGGCGGGTGTGGAAGAATGAGAACACATGGACACAGGGAAGGGAGCATCACACACTGGGGTCTGTTGGGGGGAAATAGGGGAGGGACAGCATGGGGGTGGGGAGTTGGGGAGAGACAGCATGGGAAGAAATGCCAGATATAGGTGAAGGGGAGGAAGGCAGCAAATCACACTGCCATGTGTGTACATATGCAACAATCTTGCATGTTCTTCACATGTACCCCAAAACCTAAAATGCAATTAAAAAAAAAAAAAGACAGGGTTTCACCATGATGGCCAGGCTGGTATTGAACTCCTGACCTCAGGTGATCCACCCACCTCGGCCTCCCAAAGTGCTAGGATTACAGGAGTGAGCCACCGTGCCTAGCTGGTATACATAATTTTTTACCTGAGACATCTGAAGACAAATTGTATATACCATGGCCTTTATTCTTAAATATTTCCTTAAAATAGGAATATTCTCTTACATAACCACAGTAATCAAATATATTTACCTTGATACACTACTTTAACCTACATTTACCTTGATGAACTACTTTAACCTACTGTTCACACTTTAGTTGTCAACTGACCAAATAATGTCTTTTATGTTGTTTCTTCCTTCCAGCATAGAATCTGGTATAAGGTCAGGCGCTGCATTCAGTTGTTATGTCTCTTTAGCCTCTCTTACTCGGGAATATTCAGGACTTTTAACTCCATTCTTTCTTTTATATCCCATACTTAACCATCACCGGGTCTAGTCAGCTCTATCTTCTAAGAAGTGGCAAAATCTGACCACTCTCTCCCATCAGAAAGGGTTTCAAGCCTTTTTAGGGGCAGAATATATCAATAAATTACCTAATATAAAGAAAAGCGGATGAAAGTGATGCTTTTTTTTTTTTTCTTTTGAGATGGAGTTTTTCTCTTGTTGCCCAGGCTACAGTGCAGTGGCGCAATCTCGGCTCACTGCAACCTGTCTCCTGGGTTCAAGCGATTCTCCTGCCTCAGCCTCTCAAGTAGCTGAGACGACAGGTGTGTGCCACCACACCTGGCTGATTTTTTGTATTTTCAGTAGAGATGGGGTTTCACCATGTTAGCCAGGATGGTCTCGACATCCTGATCTGCCTGCCTCGGCCTACCAAAATGTTGGTATTATAGGCGTGAGCCACTGTGCCTGGCCAAAAGTGAGACTTTTTTTTTTTTGACCCATGAGGATGGCAATGATTTTGGAAGAAAATTAATGAAACCAGGAGAATAAAGTATTCCAAAAACCAGTTCACGGAATGTAATGCCACAGAGAGAGCTTTAAAAAATATTACCACTTGCTGGGTTCTCACTGTGTAACAGGCATAACATGATGCATTCACTATCTAATTTAATCCTCAAGAAACAATTACTGCTATCCCATTTTAATATACGTAAACAGACTCAAAGAGGTCAAGTATCTTTCCTGAGGTTGCACAGCTGTAGTAGCAGACTTAAGGACTGTAACCCAGGCCCTTATCACTCTTAGATGCAAAGAGCCTGAGAGGATGTAATTAGTGGTTATCTTTAGGGAGTAAGGAGACCTTTTGCCTTTCCGCTTTATCTACTTTCATGGATTTTTGTTTTTGCTACAACTATGTACTCTCTAAAATATTTTTGCAAAATAATAAAAATATTTGTACAGAAGCTTAAGACTACAATTAATAATCTGTAAGCATTTGGGAGGGCCACCCAACTCTTCCCTGAACTCCCCCATACACTGAGTAAAAGCTTTGCTAATTAATAGAAAGACTGACCTTTGTGTGGTGTAAACCATAAGTTGATAATCTGGTCTATGCACATACTTTGCTTTATAACTGTGTTTTGCTTAGATTGTGAATTAATTTATGCAGAAAACGAGGATCTAATGTTGCACCATCCAGTAAAGTAGCCACTAGCCAAATGTGGCTATTGAGTGCTTGAAATATGGATCGTCCAAATTGAAATGTGCTGTAAGTGTAAAATAGACACCAGATTTTGAAGACGTTGTACCAAAAAAAGATGTACAGAAGTGAAAAGAAATAAACTTGACCTCACCTGGATAACATCTGATTTTCCTGCTTGTATGCAAAAAATGTTTTTCTTCTCAACAGATGTTCCTGGAGTTTTTGTTTTCTTTGCTCTAGGTAACAAAAGGTAAGTGTTACAAGTCAGTATTAGTTATAACATCAAATAAATTTTTTTGACTAAATAAAGAGTTTACTTCCAACCCTGGTTCCACTTGAGGTCACATCTCTAACAGAAAATTCCCCAATTCAGTACTGCCTTTGAGAAATCATCTAAGAAGAGACTGTTACCATAACAGTCCCCAAAGCCCCTCTGCATAAGAATCACATTCTGGGCCGGGCGCGGTGGCTCAAGCCTGTAATCCCAGCACTTTGGGAGGCCGAGGCGGGTGGATCACGAGGTCAAGAGGTCGAGACCACCCTGGTGAACATGGTGAAACCCCGTCTCTACTAAAAATACAAAAAAATTAGCTGGGCATGGTGGTGCGTGCCTGTAATCCCAGCTACTCAGGAGGCTGAGGCAGGAGAATTGCCTGAACCCAGGAGGTGGAGGTTGCGGTGAGCCGAGATCGCGCCATTGCACTCCAGCCTGGGTAACAAGAGCGAGACTCCGTCTCAAAAAAAAAAAAAGAATCACATTCTCTACTGTCTGTGAAAAATCTGGAGAATATCATTTTCAACATACAGCTCTCGAAAGCGAAGCTTTAAGAAGTTTAATGTTAGAAGTGAGACGGCAGACTCCAAAGTTCTAATATACCAGAACGGGGTTAGGTGAGAATTCCTTCCTTCTGCTTTCCTGTCTGTAGAAAAAAAATAACTTTTGATGACCCAGCCAACCCTCGGTTTCCAAAGTCTCAGGAGAAGCTGTGAAATTGGAAAAAACAACAGGATGCGACCCCAGTCCAGCAAAAAGTCGCTACGGACCCAGGAGGCGGAGAGCCCCGCGCAGGCGCAGTCCGTCCGGGTGACAGTGCAGCCCCGCCCCCGCCCCCGCCCCCGCCCCCGCCCCCACCCGACAAACAACGGGCTCCTAACACTGGTACCGGCCTGAGCCCCGCACGTTTCCCCTCGCCTAACGGATTCCCTCACAGGAGTGTCCAACCCAGCCAGCAGCGACCGCACACTAACACCACGCAGCGGGTCCTGCTTTTCTGACCCGTTCCACAAGGCCAAGAATGCGACAGGGCGAGGCCGAGGCCACGTTCAGGGCTCTCACAGAGCCGGGAAGGAGTGGAGCGCGCCAGGGCAGCCCCTAGCACCCACCGCCCAGACCGCGCCCGACGCCGAGGCCGCGTTCAGGGCTCTCACAAAGCCAGGAAGGAGTGGAGCGCGCCAGGGCAGCCCCTAGCCCCGACCGCCCAGCCCGCGTCCGACGCCGAGGCCGCGTTCAGGGCTCTCACAGAGCCGGGAAGGAGTGGAGCGTGCCAGGGTAGCTCCTAGCCCCGACCGCCTAGCCCGCGCCTGACACCGCAGCCCTCACCTTTGAATGCAGACTGGGTCCTCTGACTCGGGGGCAGCTGCAGGTCTCGGGGCACAGCCGGGGTACTCATCGTAGCCTCGGGTCGGAGGCTGCGTCTGCGCTTTACCGCCTATATAGAATTTTCTCAAGCCAACGCCGCCGCCGCCCATTGGTTCCTGCGTGAATTGAATGAGCCAATGGGCATAGAGGGGCGGAGCCTGGATTGCAGTTGCGCTGGTCGGTCTGGTGTCTACCGAGTTGGGTTGGGACTGAGTCTGCAGGTTTCAAACCTAAACTGCGCTCTTTATCTTGGAAGTGCGACAGGGGAGGAGTCAGCCTGCTCAGTCCCCACGACGTAGCAGGACTAGGTTGCAGACAACAGCTTGGGACCCTTACAGCCCTTGGAGGAAGACAGCCGAGAAAAATACAAGAGAAGTGTAGAGTGGCTGTGCTTCTTATTAAACATCGGCTTGTTCACTGACGAGGACGTAAACACCGACCTGGCGTACCACGAGGATGTGTATTTTCCTTTCACAAAGATTGCTTCACTTTGAGCATGATAACTCTGAAGGGGACGTTATCGCCTCTTTTTCCATTGAGAGGTGACAGGCTCAGACGTTGTCCACGTTTGCACAGCGTGTGAAGGGGGCTGAAATTGGGATCTACTTTCCATACCTTTATTCTAAGCAATTATTAGATGCAAAAAAGGGAGGAGAGGAGGAGAAACTGGAAAAATGAGGATAAGCCCCATCCCCTCCCCAAGGTGATACATGATTCTCCTGTAAAGATAAAATAGCATTTGTTGTAGACGTTTTGTGTTTGTGTGGTTGTGTGCTACCATAACCTTTTCGTTTTTCTCATCTAAAAATATCACCTTCATAAAACCCACACAAACACCCAATCCACATGACAGAACGAAACAAGTCAGGGCTAGAAGATTTTAAGGCTGGCAGTGGGGAAGTTAGGGCGAGTCTGGACTGCACCTGCCTGGTTTCAAGCACTGGGTTCTACATTTCTTGCCTGATCACTGCAGTAAGGCTGTACTGGACTATGCTTCAGCCATGTTTTTTGTGTTCAGACGGGAGGATGTGATTTCCCCATTTACCCTTCCCGGGTCTGACGGCCTCCACAGCTGGCCCTCGGCAGTGGTCAGTTTTTCCCACTTCTGTCTGCTTTTTTCTTCAGATGTCTGACGGTAGCATCTTGCTAATGAGGAATTTGGTTTGAGATTTTTTGTCATTTTTTACTTGATGAAATGTCCCAGTTTTAATGTAACGTGTTCATCACCATCCTTAAGAATATCACGGCTGTTTAAATACTTCTGTCAATATTGTTGATTATTTATTGACGTTTCATCAGACAGTTTGGGTAACCAGGAATTTCTATTAAGTGAGAGAACAAAATAGAGCAGTTAATAAGTAATTCAAAAACCTCCAAAACATTATGCTAAGTAAAAGAAGTAATATATGAAAGGTTACATATGGTATGAGTCCATTTATATGGAATATCTAGAATAGATACATCCATAGTAAAATAACTCAGAATAGCACTTGCCAGAGGCTGAGGGTAGGGGAGACTGGGGAGAGACCGCCTAATGGATAAGGGATCCGTTACTTTGAAGTAAATGAAATGTTTTAGAATCAGATAGAGGTAGTGGTTGTGCAATATTGTAAATGTATTAATGCCACTGAGTTGTTCACTTTAAAATGGTTAATTTTAGGCCGGGCACAGTGACTCACACCTGTAATCTCAGCACTTTGGGAGTGGGTGGATCACGAGATCAGGAGTTCGAGAGCAGCCTGGCCAATATGGTGAAACCCAGTCTCTACTAAAAATGCAAAAATAAAAAATTAGCTGGGCATGGTGGCACACGCCTGTAGTCCCAGCTACTCAGGAGACTGAGGCAGGAGAATCGCTTGAACCCAGGAGGCAGAGGTTGCAGTGAGCAGAGATCCCACCACTGCCTGGGCAACACAGTGAGACTCCATCTCCAAAAAAATAAAATAGGCCAGGCACAGTGACACATGCCCATAATCCCAGCACTTTGGGAGGTGTGCAGATCCCCTGAGGTCAGGAGTTCGAGACCAGCCTGGCCAGGATGGTGAAACTCTGTTTCTACTAAAAATATTAAAATTAGCTATATATGGTGGTGCACGACTGTGATCCCAGCCACTTGGGAAGCGGAGGCAGGAGAATAGCTTGTACCAGGGAGGTGGAGGTTGCAATGAGCCGAGATTGTGCCATTGCACTCCAGACTGGGCAACAGAGCAAGACTCAGTCTCAAAAAATAAAATAAAATGGTTAATTTAATGTTATGTGAATCTCATCTCAATAATTTTTATAAGTTGGCATGGTGATTAAAGAAAGTGACTCAAAAGATACCACGGAGATCGCAATAAGCTAAGATGGTGAATAGGAAAACTTGCAAAACTACTAGATTTTTCATCATGGCAATTCTCCTCTAATTTCCAGACTCATCCACTCCAATGATGGTCTATTTTTTTGAGACAGTTTTTAATATTACTCCCCACAATTATTGGAGAGAAAGCAGATCCTTTTCTAAAAGATCCAAAAAAAAAAAAAAAAAAAAGACTTCCTTCCAGAACCGGTCTTTGCCCACACAGCTGACCATTAAACTGAAGGCACCTGTAGTATTGATGATTAATTAGCATTAGTTGTTCCTCCTGTGCCATGTGAAGAAGGTAAAGTGCCTGTGAGAGAACAGGGAAGGACAATCTGAAAGGTAGGAAGACAATGGCGACACAGTAGGTGGCACAAAGTCTGGGGAAGAGAGAGGCTGAAGAAAGAGGTAATGGACCACACTGTTGGGCACTGCAGAGGTCTAGTAGGACTGGGAATGAAAGGGACCATCAGATTCAGAAGGTGGGAGGTTCTGGCAAAAACATCCTGGGGAAAAGTACAAAATATTGCTGACAGCAATTTTAAAAACCCTCAATAAATGGAGAGATATTACATGCTCATGGATCAAAAGACTTTATATTATTAAGAAGTCTATTTTCTCCAAGCTGACTGGTTCAATCCCATCCCTATCAAAATTCTAGAAGGTTTTCCATAGAAATTGGCAATAGGGTTCTAAAATTTAAATGTGTATGTGATGTATCTAGATTAGGCAACAATTGAAATAGAACAAAGTTGGAAGATTACCTACCTGATTTCAAGACTTATAAAGCTACAGTAATGAAGACAGTATGCTATGCTACTGGTGTAAAGAAAGACAAAGGAATAAATGGAATACAAAAGAGATTCCAACGGACGCATGCTGCGTTCCACGCTGCACAAGTGTTCAAAGGCCTAAGAGGGAACGGTGGGGGATAAAGAAAGACAGAAACACAAACAAAGAGAAAGCTGGGCCAGGCGGTTCGGGAGAGTGAGGATGTCAGTCTCTCCGGCCCCGACCTGCCTCAGAGTACTTTATTTTATTTGTTCACAAAGCACAGAGCAGAGGAAGGGTGCAGTCACTTAGAACAGCCTGTGGTTATTATTCTCATACTTCAGTTAACATACTTCAGCTAACAACTATCTTGCAGCAAGGTCAGTGAAAGCTGGTTATCTGTCTAGGCCTGTCTCTGTTCTACCCCGAGACATACGCATCCTCCTGTTATGGTTTCACTTCTCTGAAGTTCAACCAAAGTTCCCAGCAGCCTTGCTGCTGATTTCCCGGAGGGAGGTGGGTGACTCTGGCTCCCTGCAATTCCAGAAATATAATCAAGCCTATCTGGCCAATTGATTTTTCCAATTTCCAAGGCAACTCAGTGAAGGAGGATAATCTTTCTAACAAATAGTATGGGACAACTGGATATCTACATACAAAATATCAACTTTCACCCTTTTCTCAACCCGTGTACAAGAATGAAAAACAAAAACAAAACCTGACAACTTCAAAATGGAGCATAGGGCCAGGCCCGGTGGCTCACGCCTGTAATCCCAACGCTTTTGGAGGCCAAGGTGGGTGGATCACCTGAGGTCAGGAGTTTGAGACCAGCTTTGCCAACATGGTGAAACCCTGTGTCTACTAAATATACAAAAATTAGCCTGGTGTGGTGGTGGGCACCTGTAATCCCAGCTACTCAGGAGGCTGAGGCAGGAGAATTGCTTGAACCTGGGAGCAGACGTTGCAGTGAGCTGAGATCACGCCACTGCACTCCAGCCTGGGCGGCAGAGAAGACTCTGCTCAAAAAAAAAATGGAGCATAGACCTAAATGTAAGAGCCAAAACTATGAAGCTTCTAGAAGAAATCATAGGAGAAAATCTCAGTGACTTTGTGTTAGGCAAAGATTTCTTAATCAGCATCAATCTCTGGTTTGTGGAAAAAAGATTTCTTAAGTGAGGAGGCAAATTCTACGAGCTATGAAATAAAAAAATACACTGGACTTCATAAAAATTAAAACCTTTTCCAAAACCTAAAATGCAATAAAAAAAAATAAATGGGAAAAAAATAATAATAAAAATAAATAAAAAATAAAAATTAAAACCTTTTGTCTATTCATTTATTGCCATATATAAGACACATGACATTTCTCTTTGCTCCAACCTGGATATGGGAAACCCTTGTACACTTATCTATCCCAGCAGCTGTCATATGCCAGGCTTCTATATGTACAGACTGTACATCCCTCAAGGGCAGAAAACATACCTTGCAAATGTCCCCACTGCCTAACATTTTGATCACTGTAAGTCCCAGGTAAGACTGCACAGTTCCCCATCTGATTAGGATGCTTAGGTCACATGTTACTTTCAATTTAAAAAGACTAAAAAGTTGTAAACAAATCATCAAAAATCAGGCAATGATGGTAAATTGTGATATACAAAATAGCATATTACAGCAATTCAAATGTTTTTAAAGAACTTTTAGTTATTGGGCATATGCTGATGATGGAAATTGAAAAATATGAAATACAGAAGACACTGTTTAGAAACAGACCAAAACACACACAGGATTTTAGAACATGGTAAAAGTGGCAATTCAGTTTGGGGGAGAGATGGCTTATATTCATTGGAAAGAGCCTTGCCTTTCTTGTAAAGCCTGGATACAGACCACTGACTCCAAGACTGGGGGAGATGTGGAGCCCTGGGAATAGAGAGCAAGCCTGCCCTCTGTCCCTCTGCCCACATGGGCACGCAGCCTTAGGCCCCCAAAGTGGAGCATAGACCTAAATGTAAGAACCAAAACAAGAACCACTTACCCCAATAAGTAGTAGGCTCTCTAAAATGTGTTCACAA